TTCCTGCTGTGAACATTCAGAGAAAAACAGAGGCTCTTTATTTCTTCACTCATCCTGTTGATGTCACCTTATGTCCTTGGCTATGTTTGCAACACCTGTTGGTAAAAGTGGCAACTGCTTACAGCAGACCTTGAATGACTTATGCTTTAGTTTACTTTTTCTCTGAAAACTACCATCTTTCCTGGAATAATAGCTACCGTGGCAACTTGTAGTGATCTCGGTACCACTTGAATACACCTTTCCTGAGTGGTAGCAAGCATTACACAACTGCAGCTAAAAATAGATTCAGAGAATGTTTTTATCCTCTTCCTTACAAGAGAAATCTCTGGAGAGGCAGCAATATGGTCATTAGGAGTATGGCAAAAAATATTCTGTTCGCAGTCTTCCTCAAGTGAATATTGGCTACAATATAAATAGGATATTGTGTCAGTGAAGTTTACACTGTCTTGATATTGCAAAGATACAGTGTTTAAATATAAAAATTGCCTCCTTCAAGCTTCTAAGTTCACTGAACAGTGTCTAGGCATTGTTTCTGTTTCACAAATTTACTCCCAATGTCATAGATTTTTATCCTGGCACCCTTTGTTAGAGATGATAGGCAGCAAAATGATCTGCCATGTCAGAGCCTTCTCATTTTCACCATCTTAGATGGCATCGTTTTGGTAAGCTCTCCACTGTAATCATGTCCCTCTCTGGGACAGAGGACAGTGGGCTTAGCAAAGTGAATCCTGAAAGATATGTATGTCTTTTGTCAGTGGTTAATATAAGAACACCTACAGATTTGTACAAGAATAACAAACTTAGTATCCAAATCTTCCTCCCCATATCTTCATTACCTCAAGAAGTTAATTAAAATTTGATCTCAGGCCCTCCAGATTCTTGTTGCGGCTTAACCTACAGCTTTTTGCTTTCTGATGTCTCAGTGAAATCATGTATTTCAGATCCAATGGTCAACAGATCCTGCCAACTTCAGAGACAGTCCCCCTCTTTCAGTAGGTTCTTTTGATTTGTATTTTATTGTATTCTTGAAGAATTTCCTTTGCCTTAGCACTTCCCATCTTAATATACCTATTTCTTTTGGACAAGAGGAGAAGAAACAAAATTCCTATAACCTGCCCCAAAGGGTAGAGTCACAGTGCTGATCTGCCTTATTTTCCTGAAGGTACTGGTGGTTAAGAATGTGGGTGTCAGCCAAATCAGTATGTGCTGAGGGGAAGAGCCTTTGCAGAGAATTCGTACATTCAGTCTTTATGTCAATGAACCCTCGTGAGAGACCACACTGTAATGTTTGGTTCTGCTTCACAGTGTTGTGGAAGTCTTTGACTTCTGCAGACTTCAATCCTTCAGTTTTTAACCTCAGCTGCTGTCTCTTGCCTCCAAGCACCTCTCGGATGAGTAAACCAATATCCGTTTCTTGTCCTCGCCCTAGGAAAGTTTACCAGGCGGGGGAGCTCCGACACAGCGACGGAGATGGAGAGCCTGAGCGCCAGGCACTCGCACTCTCATCACACTCTGGTCTCTGACCTGCCGGACCACTCCAACAGCCATGGAGAGAACACAGTCAAAGAAGGTAAGTTTAAACACATCAGGAAAGACGCTTCACTGAAATATCAGCTCCAAGAAGCTTAGGAAGTGTTGCTGTTTCCATGCATGAGTATGTGACTAATTGTTTTCTGTTTGTTATTTCCATACATCTCCTGAGCGGGTTTTGTTTTGTGTAGAAAAATGTTCCAAACCTTTCATGGTGCAGTTGTCAAAACTATTGGCAGCCATCAGCAGGGAGAAGGCAGGGTGTGGGGTTTTTTTTTGCCTTACCACAACACAGCACAAAAGTTTGGGCAGGAACTTGGTATCACTATCTTGAGTGCTTTTGTGAGGAATTTTGTCATATTTAATGCCACATTGCAGTCCATAGCTGCTTGATTGTGCTGAGAATCACAGTTGGGTTTTTATTAGTTCTCTTTGTTCCAGTCAGAATCTTGAAATTTACTCACAGTCTCTCCGAGGCCCATCTCCTCTTGGAGGCTTCTGCAGAGACAGCAATGCCAGTATGACCATGATGGGAGAGACAAGAGACAGGACTCAGGGAGGATTCCTTGTCCTCTCTCCACCTGGCTGAATACAGTGATAGGGATGGGGCAAAGGCAACAAGTTCCTGTCCAGCACAGCTGGCACGTCCCTTCTGTGACCGTCCCACCTTCCCAGGCGCATAATGTGCGTAAGGCTCTTCAAGTGAAGCCGAACAATAATGAGGACAAAGGTTCGTCTAGCATGGAGGTGTGGTTGAGGTAAAGTCAGTCCACCCTTTCTTCCATAAAGGGGAAAAAAAAGATAGATCATTGTCACAGGAGAGTCCCTTCTGAAGAAAGAGTGCAGACCAGACCCATTTCTTAGGGTCTGCCTCCCTAGGGGTCCAGGTTCAAGATGTGAAAAGAAAGCTTCTTATTATCCATTATTGATTTTTCAGGTAGACAGTGATGAGAGTAAAACAAGAAGTCCCAGGGCAATCAGGAGAGACTTCAGGGCTTTGGAAAGACTGGATAAGGGAAGAGTAGCACAAGTAGTGCTCTCAATCCTTCCAGTTGCTGGGAATGTTGAGGGAAGAAACAGGAAGAGCTAGCAAGATGTGAAAAGAAAGCTTCTTATTATCCATTATTGATTTTTCAGGTAGACAGTGATGAGAGTAAAACAAGAAGTCCCAGGGCAATCAGGAGAGACTTCAGGGCTTTGGAAAGACTGGATAAGGGAAGAGTAGCACAAGTAGTGCTCTCAATCCTTCCAGTTGCTGGGAATGTTGAGGGAAGAAACAGGAAGAGCTAGCAGATCAACACCTGGCTCTGAGCCTCACCAGCAGAAGACAGTGATGAGAGTAAAACAAGAAGTCCCAGGGCAATCAGGAGAGACTTCAGGGCTTTGGAAAGACTGGATAAGGGAAGAGTAGCACAAGTAGTGCTCTCAATCCTTCCAGTTGCTGGGAATGTTGAGGGAAGAAACAGGAAGAGCTAGCAGATCAACACCTGGCTCTGAGCCTGGTGTCACCAGCAGAATTTTGGGGGTTTGGTCATGGGTTAGCTTACAGGACACCAGGCCTGCTGATGACAAATTGGCTAAACCTGACCCAAAGGGGGAAAAGGATCTTTGCACAGAAGGTAGCAATGCTCACTAAAGGAGCTTTAAAATTAATGTGAAGGGGGAGATTGTTGGACTCAATGATCTTAGAGGTCTTTTTCAACCTAAAATGTGCTATATTTTTATGTAGGATTTGGATATGGATTTCTGATACCCATTTCAAAACAAACTGAGCAAAACCTTAGTGAAGCAAAAAAATAGCTGCTCTTGTATAATCATCAAGTTTGGTAGGTCAGGAACAAAATTTGCTAATGCCATATTTATTGTTACCTTCACCATACAAATTTCAGTGAATGCCATTAAAATGTTACATTTGCCAGCAAGAAATCCTCTGATACACACAGATAATTCCTTCTCTGATCATTGACCAAATTGTTGTCTAGTTCAAGGTACTGCTGTTGGCCTTAGAGCATTTATCTTAATAAACAGTGCTAGTTCAGTGCTGGGAGGGTTGCACAGGCTGTGAGAAAATGTGGTCACCCCCCTGGCAAGCTGGTATTTGCATAATATAACCAGTACTTTGCTGAGTCATTGCTTGAAGATTCTTATTAGATGTATGCTATTTTATCAACTAGAGTACATTCAATAGCCTTAGGAAGAGGTTCTTTGTTATTCCATAGCCCTGTTGCTGTAGTGTCTGGCAGATGGCAGTCCAGTCAGCACCGTGGAACACAAAGGGTCTTTCTACACTACAGGGTGTATAAACCTACTTACAAAGCACTAACTGTGGGAAATTAATAACATTGTGGGCTGGAGTTCAGCATAAGTTGCAAAAACATGATGAAGCCTTGATTAAAAAATTGGCCTGTGTAGTCAACATGCTAAGCTGAACAATTTAAAGTGAAGCTTGGCATTATCATGAGTTCCCTTCTCTGAGCACTGTGAGCTCAGACACCACAGTGCCTTTCTCATCAGACAGCTTTGCATTTTGGAGATGGTTTAGACTGTTATGGCTACTGTTAGAAACTCACTGCTCCTTTTTCCTTGACTGGTGTGATGAAATATTTCAAATTGGTGTGACTTAAGAAGCTATTTCATGTTGGTGCTGCTGCTACCCTATCTTCACTCCTGCACCCATCTGCAGAGACCTTTCTCTTTGCCTTGCAGGGGCAGTGCTGCTTTTAAGACCCGGCACTGGACCAATACAGGGAGCAAAGCTAGCCAAATTCTAATTCCTCTTTTGGATTAGATTTAGATGGCTGAGCTCCCTGATCTACTTAACTGCCCACTTGACTGAGATCAACTTAAGCTGCCATGGAACTGTACTGCTAGAGCAAGCTTGGGGTTGTTCTAATTTACACTGGCTTAAAGGAAGAAATGAATCTATCTTTCATCCTTGTACCCATGATAGGAATTAGGAACCTGTCTTGCCTTTTGGCATTACAAGCTGTATTAAGAGCTACACCCTTTAAATAAGCTCAGTTTTGAGCTTCCATTCCATAACTCTAGAGATGGAAATTTACAGGTAGCCATTTTCCTCCTTGCAGTGCGGTCCCAGATCTCCACCATCACTGTGGCAACCTTCAACACTACCCTGGCCTCGTTCAATGTGGGCTACGCTGATTTTTTCAGTGAGCACATGAGGAAGCTTTGCAACCAGGTGCCCATCCCTGAGATGCCCCATGAGCCGCTTGCGTGTGCCAACCTCCCACGGAGCCTGACAGACTCCTGCATCAATTACAGTTGCTTGGAGGATACGGATCACATTGATGGAACCAACAACTTTGTCCACAAGAACGGCATGCTGGATCTCTCGGTAATTGGCAAGGAACGAGGAAAGCCAGGTCCCTCTTCTGTCAATATAGCTGTACCATTGAGATCAGGGGTTTGATGGGCTTTTCCTCCACCTCTTTATATGACTTCTCTCAGCAGTACATAAAGGTCAGTCAGATACATTTGTGCATATCCTAAAAGTCTCCTCTGAGATACTGCAAGTCCTGTTACTCCTTGCAAGGAGCGCATGTGCATGTGGAATGCACACGTCAAAACTTAAGTAGTACTATGAATGGCTGTGTTCCTGGGGCATGCACTAAATTCCCTATAAAGTAGTATAAGACTGAGTAGCACCTTTCTTCTAATGGCACCTTAAAACTCACCTGTTCTGCTTTCCCCTTTATGACTTGACAGCTCCTGGTGCACTGAAGAAGTGTTCTCAGGCTCGCAGATGTCATCTCATGGTTTCCTTTTCTGCCTGACTGTGCCCAGCCTGTGGTTTGTCTTACACCTAGATTGTAGGCTCTTGGGAATTAGGTTGTGTCCCCTTCATTCAGAGTTAGTGCTGTGCCTGCTATAATGACTCTCTGGTCTGTGACTAGAATTTCCAGGCACTAAACTGTACTAGGAGGGAAAGTAAATCTGACTTTAAATATGATGTTGGAATCTCACAGGTGGTCCTGAAAGCTGTTTACTTGGTCCTGAATCATGACATCAGTTCCCGGATTTGTGATGTGGCACTGAACATAGTGGAGTGCTTACTGCAGCTTGGTGTGGTGCCCTGTGTAGAGAAGGTTCGAAGGAAGAGTGAGAACAAAGAAAATGAAGCCCCAGAAAAGAGGCCAAGTGAAGGATCCTTCCAGTTCAAAGGAGCTGCTGCTGCTGGTTCAACTTGTGGATTTGTGGTGCCTCCAGTTACTGGAGCTGGAGATGGAGGAGAAGAAGGAGGTGGTGGAAGTGGTGGAGGAGGAGGAGGTGGAAGTGACGGAGGTGGTGGAGGAGGAGGAGGGCCATATGAGAAGAATGACAAAAAGCAAGAAAAGGTTTGTCTTGCTTCCCTTTATAAGATTCATGAATGTACTGTAAGGTCTGTTAAGATTGAGTATGCATGTGTATGCAACTGCCCTTCAGTTTTCCCTCTTTTTTTTTTCTTGCAACACAATGACAAATTAGTTTGTTTTGCTCTGGCATGCACTTGGGGTTCCACTGAAGAAACATGTTTGGGAATTCAAGCACTGTAACTGCTCCAGAGAAGCAGCTGCCAAAAGCAGAATTTTTGAGCATTGCATGGATATTTTCAATATCAAAGTGTCTGAAGCCCTCAATCACAATGATTTTTTCCAGGTTTATTATTCATAACTTCTAAGGGGAAACAGAATCCAGTGTGTGAGCACAATTTCTTTTCTTTGACAGCCAGAAATCATGAATTTTTCAGTATTGCTATGAGAATTGGCCAAGAGATGTTGCTAGCCTCCAAAGTTGCAATTCATAGTAGCATAATGCCTAAGACATTTTTAAAAGATGCTTGTTTTTCTACTTAAGCAAGCCAGCTCTTTGGTTTCCAGGCAGAAGGTTTTGAAGTAAGTGCTGAATGGTATTCACAGCAGCATGTAGGGATTCTACATTTATAGCATAACTTTTTGATGGGGAGCTGAAAGGGAGGGGGCTGGTCCCTGAATTTGAAAAATTATTTGAAGTAAACATTTCAAGAATAACAGCTCAGTAACGGAGTATCTGAGAGGAGAAATGGACAGCAACTTGTCAAAAGTAAAATGCTAACAAAATGCCAGTTATGCCAGGATTTCACAACATCTTTCCTCTGTGACCCTCAGGATGAAGGTCCATCTGTCAGCACCCATAGGCTGGCACTCACAATGCTGATTAAAATTGTGAAATCCTTGGGTTGTGCCTATGGTTGTGGAGAAGGACATCGAGGGCTCTCTGGAGATCGCCTGAGACACCAGGTATTCCGAGAGAATGTAAGAGAATTAAAGCTCATTAAAGTGTCCCCCCTTGTACTTTTGACATCAGCTGCTGAGATTGCTGTTTGCCCCCTCTGTAGCTTTCTCTGCGTTGGAAGTAAATGTGTTGCTCTTTGCTCCAGCTCACAGACTGTGTTGCAGCCCAGCCGTAGTAGATTTTCAGCTATCATGTTACCTTCCAGCACCTGGGGCTTGCTAAGAGCACACCTGAGGTCCAGGGTGCTTCTGACCACCCCAGTGGATGGGTTGGGACAAATACATGGGAGCAAATGCCCTGTGTGAGCTGGTGTAAGTAATTTTTCACATGATGGTACCCCAACAGAGTATGCTGTTTACAAGACGTGCAGCTATCTTGGGTTGGATATCTAAATCCAGAAGTCTAAGGTGTAGGTATGTCCACCTTTCCTACTGGTGATTATGACTGGTTGCTGCTGGGCTGCTCCATCAGCTCCTGATAGTTGGAATGTACTGTACTTGTAGGTATGTTAGTGTGCTGCAAGGATGTAAAGGACTTACTCATGCCCTATTGAAGGGCCAAGTGGATCATCTCTGTTGATCCTTACTTTTTTGGTTCTGCCCAAGTTGAAGCAGTGGAAAGTGCCCAGGATATAGCCTAGACATCAGATTTCATCCAGAAGAGTTTGACTCCCTGAGATCAGTTCAATGCCCTGTCAAATGGGAGCCTTTCCAGCACATGCCTCCACCTCACCCTGAGTGCTTGCATTTTTCATGACTGTAATGAGAATTTACTAATCTCATAGTATAGGTGGAACCAGATGCTTCTTCATGGCTTTGTTTAGCCTGAACCATGCCAACAGAGCTATAATTTAGTTCTGGGATCTGAGCTAGATGGCTCAGAGATGGACTGGCTGCTCTGTATCCTTGCAGTGTTCTTCTGTTAGCTAGACTTCCAGGTACTGAGGAGACTGCAACAGTGATATTAGTTCTGGGCACAATGGGACAAAGTGGAATAAGAGAGTCCCAGTGGTAACAGTAGAAAGATTCTGCACAGAGCACTGGTTGAACATTCATCACAACGTCAGTTAGGTTTTGGTGTTGGAGCTGAGCCAGCAAAGCATTTAGGCCTATGCATAACACTAAGCATAAATGAATAGGTCTCTTGGAGCCAAGGTTTTTATCAAACCCATTGAACTGAGGTATTTATGGGAAGAGATTTTCCTACACGCCTAAGTCTGCTGCGTTTTCTGTGCATTTGTCTGGCCAAACTGCTTTGCATGCACCATTTGTGTTGACTGCATGGACAATTACATGTCTGAGTTTACTGGAAAGTTAAGCACCCTGTTGTAGGTAGCAGGACTGTTCATGTTGGAGTTGATATTTTACATTCTCGTAACTCCAGCCTGCATGGGGGTCTAGTAGGATGAATAGTTTTGTGATAAGAAGTTGACAATTAATAGCTTTTAAATAAAAAGTTAGTGTTTTGCATGATTTTAATTGGTCTCTGGGTATAGGTGCCTCAACTGGGTTGGGTCTGAGCCAGAGGCTGAAAACTGTAAGGCTAAGGCTAGAATCCTGAGGCTAAGAACCTGTTCCACCAAGGCACTGAGCCTTGGTAGAGGTGTTCTATTCCTACTTCATTCACATCCAGGGAGATTTTACTTTGGGGCTGGGGAGAGGAAGAGAAGGCTTGAGACATGGCAATGACTTCACCCACCATCTCCAAACAGCAGCACCCATCCTGGTGCACTATCTCCTTGTGCTGAATTTCTCGTTGACAAGAGGTCAACCTGTCTTGTTACAGGACCCTTCAGAGATAGCACAGCAGAGCACTGGCTAACCAATAGCAAAATTACCCTGTTCCTGCTAGCAACACTTGAACATGTACTCTGATGTGATGTGATTTGATGGATATCATTGCAGGCTCAGAACTGCCTCACCAAGCTGTACAAACTGGATAAGATGCAATTCCGGCAGACCATGAGGGATTATGTGAACAGGGATTCTCTCAATAACGTGGTGGATTTCCTCCATGCTTTACTGGGATTCTGCATGGAGCCAGTCACTGACAGTAAGTATAACTGGCATGAGAAACTCTCACTGGATTATTCCTAATCTACGTCATCAGAAAGAAGCCATGCCCTTTTCCTTCAAAAGTAAAAGAACTGTGAGTTGCTATCCTCAGAAAATAGCCACTGTGAGTCAGGAGAGTTGGACCTCTTTGGATCCAACCACCCAGTGATCTTGCCTAGAGGTCTTGTAGCACCTAGGACACCTGAAATTGAAGGCCTCCCTTTTTGATTCATCCTACCTGTTGTTCATGACTCTTCACAGAAAATACTTTCATTCAACAATGCCTCAGGCAGGAAGTTTTCTGTTTCATGACATGACTAGGCACCAGCTGGAATGACCTGTTTAATCCAGGGTTTATTCTGAATGGAGGTATAACTGCATTAAAACCCCCTGTGGTACCTCCAATAAGGCAGTAAACAGCAAGAACAGTTTGAATGAACTAGAGCATGAACACACAGATGCACATGCCTGCACTTATGAGTGTGTGTGCATGTGTGTATATTGGGGGGTTTGAGGTTTCTTTTAAAGTAGGCAAATTATTCCAGGTACTATTAGAACAACCAGACATTTATGCTTGTTCATTGTACACATCAACAGTTAACAATGACTGTTTACAGAGTAGGAATAGCTCCTCTGAAGCACTCAGGGAGTCTGACTAGTTTATTACCCTGCCTCTGATCCCAGGAATTTCAGAGAAGGCATCAAAGAATATAATATAGCCAGCTTTTGTGAAGACGATGCCCATAGGAACTTTCCCTGAGTATTCATTAGTTATTGACTGGCTCATGCTTTGAAGCTTGGCAGCTCATGTGGCTCTTGAAAGTCTTTCCTCTCATCTCATGAAATTGGGATGTTTCTTGTAATTCCTGTAAATGTGCAATTCTTTTTTGGCTCTTTCTGAGAGCTTGGTCTCCTTGTGCACCTTGCAAGAACAGCATTCCTGTAGTTCAGAAGATTTTAATTTCATGGGTGTTATCACTTTGCAGCTTAATCAAACATCTCTTGACCTTTGGAACAGTAACTAGAAAAGCTGGAGGTATTGTTCAAATTTCATGCCTTACACTGTACATCTCTAAATGAGAGATGTGGATAAAAGGAGGCCAGACTCATCCTGATCTTTTCAATCCTTTTTCATAGTACAACTGTTTCTGGGAAGATTTGATCCTTGTAATTTGTTTTACCCTTCCCTTCTGCTTTATTTCTGTGGGGTAGGATTGCAAGAATTGAACATAGGCTATTAGGTGGGGATGTGCCCTTGTCTCATGTATCATAATCACTTTACATATGTCTTTAAGCCATCTGTTTTAAACCATTCCTAACAGTATTTATACTTGAATTTCACAGACAAGGCTGGATTTGGGAATAACTTCACCACAGTGGACAACAAGTCTACAGCCCAGAATGTGGAAGGTATTATTGTGAGTGCCATGTTCAAGTCACTGATCACTCGCTGTGCTTCCACTACACATGAGCTCCACAGCCCAGAAAACCTGGTAAGCACTAGATTTCATGTTAACAAAGTTGCTTGTTCACTTGGCTGTCACCAGTGAGACTTTACAGTGAAGAGTTAGTTCAGTTTAGCCAAATCCACTGAGTTGCAAGCTATGCAGTCGCAGTTGGAAAATCACATAGGTGTGATGCCCTCCTCGCATGCCTGTCTTGGAACCTGGGGACTTAGCCAGGATAAAAATTGTGCAGTGTGAATTACTGTTTCCTGTTAGTTGAAGCAGCTTCTGTGTTGTTCCAAATGGATTAGTAGCATAGTCTTGAGTAAGGGATAAATGAACAAGGAGGGCAATGGCATCCTAGTTTGTATCAGAAATAGTGTGGCCAGCAGGACCAGGGCAGTGATTCTTTCCCCTGTGCTGGGCACTGGTGATGCATCTCAAATCTTGGGGTCAGTTTTGGACCACTCACTAAAGAAGGGCCTAGAGTATGTCCAGAAAAGGGCAACAAAGCTGGGGAAGGCCCTGGAGCACAAGTCTTATGAAGAGCAGCTAAGGAAACTGGAATTGTTTAGTTTGGATTAATGGAGACTCAGGGGAGACCTTATCACTCTCTACAGCTACCTGAAAGGAGGTTGTAGCAAGGTAGATGTTGGTCTCTTGTGATGGGACAAGAGAAAATGGCCTCCAGTTGCTCTAGTGAAGGTTTAGATTAGATATTAGGAAAAATGTCTTCACTGAAAGGGTAGTCAGGCATTGGAACAGACTGCCCATGGAAGTGGTGGAATCACCATCCCTGAAGGGATTTAAAATACATGTGGATCAGGCACTTGGGGACATGGTTTAGTGGTTAGCTTGGCAGTGCTGGGGGAACAGTTTGACTCAATGATCTTAGAGGTCATTCTCAACTTCAACAATTCTATGATTTGAAGGCCACAGCCAGCATAAATCAACTTTCAGCAAAGTTAAAGCCAGTTCACTTAGTTAAGGACATGGCTGAACAACAGTTGGTAGATCTTCCCAAGGTTTAGATAAACATTCTATTTCCCAAACATCTGGAGGAAAGTAAGGTGCTGCTGGTTGCTGCTTATGTGCTGTCACCCCAGAGCAGTCAGTAGAATGGATGCAACTGCTGCAGAATCTAGAAGCTAGTCTTAAACCACCTCCTATATTATCAGAAATTAGGATTTTTCATGGAAGCAACCAAGAAGCATTCTTGTACACCATCCTTACAGCAGAGATGTGGAGGCACTGAAGTCCAGCTAAAGGGGCAGTAATGCTCTGTGAGGGGAAGGGAAAGGGAGAAGGAAAAAACACAGTAACATCTTAAACCAGCAGCATAGTCTGTCCTCATGTTCTTATGGATACTTTTCCTTTGGAATGTTTCTCAGCAGAGATTAGGTGGTGGGGTGCAGAAAAACATGCCCCATTATTGGATCTGGATTAGAAGCACCAAGTGTAAATTTTCCTTATAAATTGCATGTCTCTCTGGACCCTGTTTTTATCTAGTGTTTAAGGTGAAACTTATCTCTAAGGGCAGCATGATCAATCATGCCTGTAAGGAGAACACAGCGTGCAGAGCATGTGAGCAGATTTCTTCTGGTTGTGTCACTCTTTAAAGTCAATCCTGTGTTCAATATCTTATGGAAAAAAATAGCCTTAACCAATACATAGATCCAATTAGTTGTTTGTTGGTATTTTGGTGGGTTTTTTTTTTTTTTGTTGTTGAAAGCTGGCTGTTCAGGTCCTCGCTAGGAATATTCAGAGTAATCCAAGGTCTTTCAGGAAAGCTCACAGATCAACAATCAGATCCCTTAAAACTGTTCCCTTCGTCCCCTTGCCCTCAGGTATAGAGGTGATTTGTACATCACAGCTGTGTATGAGTGTTCAGAACTAAATAGAACCTTGAGTGTAGGAGTAGGCTGAGGAATGAGTGAGTCATTCCTCTCTATTCCTATGATGTGAAGCTCTAAAATAATGAAAAGTCCCAAGACACCCACCAGTTTTGAAACAAAACATGCAATTTTTTTCACTCTACTTCCCCCCACACCTTAGATTTTTAATGCCTTTTAAGTTTATGGGCTACATGAATGGGATAAAATAGGCTTTAAGTCATCTTTGCAACTCCCTCATCTTGCAGCTGTTTAGCCTCTGATATGTCTCCATCTGCTCTAATCCATTGCTGACCATGTTCCATAATAATAATAATAATAATGCTCCTCATTGTCTGCTTCTTCTGAGTGTACTAAATGAGTTTCCAGCCAAAAAAACAAACCCTGTGCCTGGAGAATATATCACACATCAGCAAGAGGAAGTCAAGACCTCCTGAAGTACCTTAAAAAAGTACTGATTCTCACTGCTTCTTCATTAACTGCAGACTGAATTCTTTCTTTTTCATGATGTCTTGCTACTCAGGGCTTGTACTGTGACATTCGACAGCTTGTCCAGTTTATCAAGGAGGCTCATGGGAATGTATTTCGGAGAGTGGCACTCAGTGCCCTCTTGGACAGTGCTGAAAAGTTAATACCAGGGAAAAAAACAGAGGAAACAGAGCAGGAGCCAAAACCTTCTGGGAGCAAAAGGTAGGTGGCTAGAAGGGAGAAGGCAAATGACTGACTTGCCTTATGCTGTATGACTACCTGTGCTGAACACAAATGTAGGAAGTCCAAGGGCTTATGTGTTTTGTCTTGATGGCCTATGTCAGTTCTTGATGTACAGACTTGTGCTGTGGCAGCAGCCTCTGTTAAAATTTAATGAGTGGAGACAGTAGTAGGTTTGGAGCAAAAAGTGTTGGAATTCTCATACAAGAGGCCTAAGAGAACTGTGCAGTGGAAGCACTGGGAGAAGGAAAGGTTCAGAGAACGAAGAAGCATAGTGTCAGTCCCAAAATACTGTGTGGGTAGTTTCTAATGTGCATCACATCCTTTGTGTTGTTTATCTGATAGGTAAACCCTGGTATGCAAAACAAGTCCCAGAAGAAACCTAATCCTGACATGCTCCTTTATCAAAAAGAAATTTCCTCTGGTGCTTTGAGGCTTGTCATACAAAAATAATGGAAAGAAAGTTGAAAACCTCCTAAAAACCTTGGCTTTGCTTCTAAGAGCTGATGCGTTTTTCAGGAATGATGTATATAGAGGCAGTAAGTTTTTTAAGAGAGGGTGCATCTCCAAAGCTGCTCTTCTGATCAGCAGTGCTGGTTTCCATGTCATGCAGCTTTGTGATGACCATGAGATGGGCCATCCATTGACTTTGGCTGATGTTTTATCTTGTCTGTATAGATCTGAGGTGGGAAGTGTCATCATTGACAAAGGCCAGGCCTCAGCTGCCCCTGATGAATGCCGGAGTTATGTCTCAAGCCGCCCAATGCAAACTCCAGAACAGTAAGTAAATATTGGATTTTTCCATGGATTATTGCCAGCAGCTTCCTTCTGGGGTCAGTACAAATGGGCAGGACAGCAAAGACTTACCTGTTTGGATTGTACAACAAACAGTTGAGTGTCTCCACAGGAGCTGCTACTAAACATCCAGGTAACACCTGTTTTCAATGCTGCGAACTGGACCCACCCTGGTTTTGATGAGGAAACACCAGAGATTTTCAAATGACAGTGCAGTAAATTTGTCAGTATTGTATACTACCATAGCAGTGAACAGAATGTGAATTCCTCAGAGGTGTCACTACAGCTGTTCTGCATGCTTTGTTTGTACTTCTGGGGGATGATTCTATTAATTTTCAGTTTCAAAGTTGTTGCTAAGGATCATTAATGCTTCAGAGAGAGCCAGCCCATTCCTGACCTGCCTTGGGCATGTAGTCTCCAAAGACTGCTGCAGTTCCCTTATCAGCACAGGTGCTCTACCAGTTTTCTTTGAGTGAATCAACCTGTTAGGCATTATAGAATCACAGAACATCCTGAATTGGAAGGGATCGGCAAGGATTATCAAAATCCAGCTCCTGGCCCTGTGCAGAACTACCCCAGGGATCACACCATGTGTCTAAGAGTACTGTCCATGCACTTCTTGAGCTCTGGTAGGCTTGGGGACGTGAACACTTCCCTGGGGAGCCAGTTCCAGTGCACAACCACCCTATGGGTGGTTACTTCCCTAATATCTAACCTGAAGCTTCCCTGACACAGCTTCTTACCATTCCCCTGTGTCCTGTCACTGGTCACCAGAGAGAAGAGTTCAGTGCCTGCCCCTCTGCTTCCCCTCATGAGAAAGTTGCAGACCACAGTGAGGTCTCTCCTCAGTCTCCTCTTCTCCAGGCTGAACAAACCAAGTGACCTCAGCCACTCTTCATATGGCTTCCCCTCTGGACCCTTCACTATCTTTGTGTCACTCCTTTGGATACTCTCTAGAAGCTTTATCTCGTCTTTATATTGTGGGGCCCAAACCTGCACACAGTACTGAAAATGAGGCTGCACCAGTGCAGAGCAGAGCAGGACAATGACCTCTCTCAACTGGCTGGCAATACTTTGCCTGAAGTAACCAGAACACAGTTGGCCCTCCTGGCTGCCAGGGCACACTACTGACTAAACAGCATTGCACTGCTGCAGTCTCTTATGTCCAATGAATTCTGCTGTTTAAAATTGAAGTAAATTTAAACAATGCCCTTAAGAATTTTAAAAAATTTTATAAATGGCCAGTGGTCCCCAAGTAACTTTGGACAAGTCATTTAACTTCTTCTGAATATGTGTCTGCCTTGTTAAAGTGCTTTGAGATGCACCACACAAAGACACTGCTTGCACAAGGGCCCAGAGCAGTACATCATGTATTCTCCTGCATTAACTGAGCCTGCAAAGTCTTCCTCTTGCTGAGACAGCAGGGGTAACACAAAGCCCTTTACTGCTCTGCAGAATTGTAGCAAGCTGATCTGCTCTGAGCCCTGCCATAGCCATGGGAGATCTCAAGAGTATAGTAGAATACACTGTCCCCATTCCAACATTTAATGAGAACTGTGACTCCAGCAGGTTCACAAATGGCTGTTGTGATGTCCTAAAGCTCTCTGGTATAAATGCTTGTAGAAAGTACCAGTGTGGTCTTATCAGTATAGGTCATTTTGGCCTAGAGAAGATGATTTGTTTTTCATGTGTAGAAACTAAAAATTGGAATGATCTGTTCAGTGGACAAGCTCCTCAGGGTAGGAAAGATGGTTATTTTGTGCCTTGAACGATGTTGAGCGCATTGTCAAACTTGATTATGTCCCACTGAGAAGAGTATGTTTGGAATTCAAAATGAAACAACCTCAAGGAAGAGAGAGGTTAGGAGGGGACTGTGGGAGGGAGGCCTCATTCCCCTGAGCATCCAAACTTCACTGAAATGCAGTTCATGCTCTGCATCCCTTTTCTTCCAGTGATGAGCAAAGCCAAGGGGCCAATCTGGGACGCAAGGACTTCTGGCGAAAGATGTTTAAGTCACAAAGTGCAGCAAGTGATACCAGTAGTCAGTCTGATCAGGACACATCTGAGTGCACCACTGCTCACTCTGGAACCACCACAGACAGGCGCTCCCGCTCCCGTTCCCGACGAATCTCCCTTCGAAAGAAACTCAAACTCCCCATAGGTAAATGTATGTCTCTTCCTTTTCTATATACATATTGCATGTACAGAGAAACACAGATAGGTATATCTGTCTTAAGAAATGTTCCAACACAGTTCCTCATTGTCCAAGTACATTGTATATTCTCCCAAGAGAAGCTGGGAAATACTGCTTTCTCCGTTTTACAGATGGGCAGCTGAGGCAAAGGGAATTGTAAGCAGTTTGCTAAAGGTAACAGGAGTTATCTGTGTCAAAATAGACTACTGAATCTGTGTCCCCAAAGTAGTCTCATAGGCATTGTTCCTCTCTGTAGAAGAGGTATATTCCAAATAGCATTTGATAGACAACCTTCACAAGTCCCAAGACCTGGCCTTGCATGGTAGTTAATATATGTAAAATGAAAAGGTTGCCTTCCTGTTTCTTCCTGGTTTTCCATTCCCTAGCATGGTCACTTTGGAGAAAGATGCTGCAATGGCTAGTAAATAAGTTCTGCTTGGAAGCATTTTCAGATTTGTCCTGAGTGGTTTATTCTGCAACAGGGAACTGGCTGAAGCGCTCCTCCCTCTCTGGTCTGGCTGATGGAGTGGAAGATCTCCTAGATATCAGTTCTGTCGACCGTCTCTCTTTCATCAGGCAGAGTTCCAAGGTAAATGTGTCAGGCTGGATTGCAGAGCGCTTGGAAGGGCAGGATCTGGCTGGTTTCAGCTGTTCAAGGAAACATTCTATTCAACATGAACATTGCAGAGAATGAGACTCAGAGAAATCTCTAAAGTAGAGCCATGGGAATTTGAGACTGGGCTTTTGTGGCTCATGGTAAAGGTGAGATTAAGCATACAGTGTCCTGGTCAGTCTGCCTTGGTTCACTGAGAGGGAAATGCAGGCTCTGTCAACACAGTTAAGGTTTAATTGTTGGTCACACTTCTCCTTCCTTCTTTGTGCTTTTATAACCTCTTGCAAAAGATCAAACCTTTAAGCAGAAAACTTAAATGATGAAGTGCTTCAGCGTATGTAAATCTGTGCTAACCAACTCGTGTTGCTATGGTGATTCTTACAGCCCTTCCATAGATGCTTTATGTCTAACCAAGGAGACCAAGAGCTCTTGGTGTGGCACAGCCTGACTAACCCCTCTGTCTCTGCACAGGTGAAGTTTACCAGTGCAGTGAAGCTGTCAGAAGGAGGTGGGCCAGGAGGAGGCCTGGACAACGGCCGAGATGAAGAGGAGAATTTCTTCAAGCGTCTTGGTAAATGGCGCACCTGCCGAAGACACCCATCCAAGCTTCATCACACAGAAGAAAAAGATGGTTAGAAATCAGGGTTCTCGTCTCCTTTTTTCTTTCTTTTTATCTTTTCTTTTTTTTAAATATCTTTCTTTCTGCATTTTACCCCTTCCCTTTTTTCCTGCTTTCTCCATAGTTTTTGTATCCATTCTAGCCTCTCCCAACTTTTTAGTCTTTGTAACTGTTTTCTTTCCCTTCCTTCTTTCTTTTATTTTGATTTAGAAAACAGCTCTAGTAAAGTAAATTTTTTTAAAAATTCAAGACTATCCAAATAAATTATGCAATGCAACATTTGGTCTTTTTAAATCAAATTAAATTTGATCATCCACTCAAAAAATTAATGCTTGCTTCAAAGCACTTATTCAGTTCAAAATTAGGTGTGTAAATCTTTTGTGGCCTAATACAACAATGGGTGTTCCATCAGGTTTTTTGTTTGGTTTGGTTTTTTTTTCTCCAATTTGTGACTATTTGAAGTTTTAGCAAAGATCAGCACAGAAATGGAAAACCCTGCACAAACCTTGTTATAATTATCTCTTTTCTTCTGTGTTTGCATGTCTAGTGTCTGCATACCATTCGTTAGGGATGCTGTCCCTTTTTCTTAGCACGCAACATAATAACAACACTCCTTTTCCTTTCCACAAAAGTATATTTAATTGCAATGTATTTTCAAAATCAGCCATGTTTGAAAAAGTGCCTTTATGAATAATACAAGGTCATGATATATTCTGTTTTAAAATATCATGCAGTCATTCACATGCTCATGTCCTCAGCTCAGAGCACGTCCTTGTTGTCAGGGAGACAACCTTGTATCTTGAAGTTCTGTTATGGTTTTTTTTAAGACAACCCAATCCAACTCCCAAAAACACACAAAAAGGAGTAAATTCTTTTTTCACCATTGTTTCTGTAGCTTTACAGTATGTTACACTCTTGGTATTATGTTTTTTAATTTGTGACATTACACTTTGACACTGCATTGTGTGTATTTCGCCATCCTCTGTCCCAGTTCTGCAGTGTAATGTGTGCAAGGCACTCTTTAGGCAAGAGATACTAAGTTACTATGAATGTATCTTGCCACTGCAAACTGGTCGTCATCTGCCACTGCAGAATGGTGGTGGTTTTCAAGTAGCCCCTAGATGAAAAGTAAAGTTCCTTTAGGAAAATGCACCTTGTTGTAGTTTATCATTCCCCACAATGGAAGGAATTGGATCCTTCATCTGCTACTTTGCGCTGAAGTAGGTGTGAAATACTTCCACCATATTTTCTCCCAGCTCTCACTGGTAACAACCAGCTGAGGGGCAGTGTGAGCTTTACAGACTGCCACAGCTGTTTCTGAAGTGCTCATGTGTGATGTGCTTCATATTTTCCTGTAGGAGATTTTTTTTTTCATTTTTCTAACACAAGGGTATTTAAAGTTTATAAGGTAAAGTGTGACAGTTAAGGCAGCTGTATCACTGTGTCCACTAGGATCTCTGGTATGAAATGAAAGCCATGTGCCATTAGCAGGAAGATTAGAGTAGTTGTACTTGCCTCAGTGTCTGTGCTTGCATGTGCACAGTAATATCCATGTGAGGCCTTTTCAGGGTGGGACAGTTTATAACCCAGTAGAACAGCAATGTTACTGAGGGCCTTCAAATTTCCAGTACTTCTGTATCTTCCATACAGATCAGCAGGTTTTGTGCTCATGGAGAAGAGAATAAAAGCCTATTGATGGTGGATGTGCATACTATTAAATCCCTCAAGGTCTGAACCTAAAGCACTAAACCTCTTTCTGCCTTCCCATTCTCATCATTCATGGTTCTATGCCATTACTTTGTTCATGCTTTTTCCATGTGGTGTTTCCTCTTGTGTTTTTGGGGTTTTTAACATAGTAGACCAAATTTAAAAGAAAATGGAGAGAGGAGAAATACATTACAGTAAAAAAATAACAAAATGTAGATTGATTTGTCACATCATTTATGAATTGTAAATCTTCATTGTGATCTATCATCTAGACCACTGGAAATTCTGTGTTGGATATGTATGTAAGCATACATATGTGTGTGTATCTGTATATGTGCATATGTATACATATATATATACACATAAATATATATACATTCATGCATTAAAATGTTTATTTTAATGATCTTTTTCACCTATACTAAGAACAAAGATATATATATACAGAAGTGAGTTACAGTATATTTACATGAGACTCTTAACGTTCCTTCAGGCACTTGCTGAAGACATTGTGAGTGACCACAGAAGCTGTCAGGGTATGCAAGGCACAACAGCTCATGCTTGCTCTGAGGGGTGAGCTCACAGCCACACAGGGAGCAACTGTGGGGACAGGAGATTGGGTATCCACTATACTCCTATGTTAGGAAATGGTTTCTGCTCTCTGGGTGAGATTTTTCTACATTAGATCAGTGTGGGCTCCTCTGCTCACAGCAAGGCTACTCCAGGATGGACATAGCAAGGGACAGTCATCATCTGCCTCTGAAGGATTCTCTTGCTTCTTCGACAAAATGCAAGGCTGGGGCTTCAAAGGGCTTTAGTGATAGTACCACTGAGCTCAGATGGACAAAGCCTCTGCTAGATCTTTATAGTGTGGGTTAGGAACATGCCTTGGGCATGTCTTTGTGTATCAGAAAGACAAGTTTCTGTCCATCTCATACAGGCACAGCCCTAACAGGGCCCTGAATCAAGAACATTTGTTTGTACCTCAGGTGAGTTAGTCTTACAACAGTCATAGCAGGAAGGCTCAGATAGCATGCTATGGGCTATAAGGAAGCAGGAGGAGCTGGAAGGAAAGAGTATTTGTGCCTGCTCATATATGTAAGTGTTCTACCTGTTCTTTCTCCTCCTTTGTTTGTTTGTTCCACTTCAATGGAGTATTTCCCGGCATAGGAACATTTTGTTTACTGGAAAACTATTTACAGCTTCACTGGAGAGAGAAAAGCCACAGAAATGGTGAAGAAGTCTCTTGAAATTAGGTGCACCTCTGTCTTCAGGGGAAGAGTGAAGATTTACATTGTTATTTCCTGTTGTGATTTTTGTTTGTGGTACTTAAGTGCTTTCCAAGTAATTCTGGGGAGTGTGATCTCAAAGGGACTTTGAGTTTCAACCATTCTTCTTTCCTGAAGAAGAAGTCACAAAGTCCTGTAGAACTGATGTTTTGCCTCTTGTCTTTCAAATCCATGTTTAAAGCCAATCTAGAATTCTCCACTTGGTGTTCTCCAGTGCTTTATCCTTTAGTATTTTGTAAATTTCCGTATTTTCAGATGTAAACAGGGAGAGTATTATGGATAAAGAGAAAAAGTCCAGAAGCTGAATGTCCTTGTTTTGACCAGCCACTTTGGCCTTGAAACTACTTCTCTGTGTCTTTCTACCATTCTCTAATTCTGGGTACTAACTGCATAATGATCTTCTGCATCCAGAAGTGTTTATTTGGATTAGTGGATTTATCATGGGAACTCCATACATGGAGTTTAAAATTGTGCTTGAAAGAAGCCCTGGACTGGGATGCCAGCTTCATTCTTCAAAGGAACTCTTATTAGGGAGCTTTCCATCTGAAAGAGTGCAAGAGACACTTCAAGGCAGAGAGGCTGGAATGATGCCGATACCAAGAAGTGGAGTCCAGTCTCCCTTTGGGTGTTCTGGTAATTGCAGAAGATGTATGCCTAAAAAAATGACAGTATTTGGTTTCCACATAGAACATCTCCAATATTACTACTGATTTTTTCTGTCATAGTAGATGATACATTACTAAATTGATATATGTGGAATAAGGTGTATGTATGCTCCACTTTGAGGTAAACTTAGAGGCAATAGAAAAGTAAGTTAGGAGATTACTCAGGAAAACCAGACAATAAGCAAGATGATCTGTATTAAAGAGGTGGGGAGAAAGGCTCACATCCTGGCTCACCTATGTTGGAGCAGATCCCACCTAAGTATGGTGGGATTGTTCTGGGCAGACATCAGTATGACCAATACCAGAATCTGATTTGCTATATTTCATAGAAGTCATTAATATTGTAAAAATTGCCCTTACCTTCAAGATAGCACATCAAGGTGAGAAAGGGATTCAGACTAAGACTGTGCTCATCAGGATTTTTGTTCCACTTCTTTTACTGGTGAGAGACTGTGTTCCCTTCTCCCTACCCCTCCCTGCATCCCCTCTGTACTCTCTACCTCTTTAGGTTGCCATAGCTTTGATGATCACTTGACCTCCAACCAAGAAGGAGGAAAATCCAGGAATGTTGTGAACCTGGGAGCAATCCGCCAAGGCATGAAGCGCTTTCAGTTTCTCCTGAACTGCTGTGAACCAGGCACTATCCCCGATGCCTCCATTCTGGCAGCAGCCCTAGATCTTGTAAGTCATTCTTTGGTCTGTTGTTACCTGCTGAGTGAGAGCATGTGCATATGTGGTGGTCTGCTGTCATTCCCTGATGCTCTTCATGCCTGCACAGAAAGCAGGTGAAGCATCACAGCAATGCCAGGTAGTGGTGCTGGTATTAGCTGGAGTTTAGCAACTGTGACTGGACAAGTTTGAAGACAAAATGGATCTTTTTTTTTATTACATGGCTCTCCATAACTAGATTATTGCCAGTGCAAAGCTTTTACTGTTGACTTCATACTTTGCTCACAGCTGTCCTGTTTCTGCTCCTAGTGTCAATCTACACAATAAGATTGAAGACTGGATAACTACTTAGAGAAGCATAGGAATTCCTCTCAGGAGTTCTGAGAGTTGTAAATACATTAGGCAACACTGAACTATTAGTCACCAAAGCCAGGCAGAGGAAAAAATTAAAATGTCAGAATGTGCAGCTTTTAAGTACAAATATTGCTAACTTTTAGGTTGAAATCACAGAAGTGATGCAATTCCGTCCCTTCTTCCTGATACCAAGTGTCTCTTCTGTATCTCCTTCCTTCTTTTCCTTGCAGCTGCTGGTTTTTGAAGTCCCTTCCATTTCTAAAGCAGTGGCCTTCAGCCTATGGTTCATGGGCCAGTGGGGCTCTGTGAGGTGCTTATGTGACAAGCACAAGAGTGTGACAAATACAGCTATGAAAAGCCAGGCAATTACTAGCAATTTCTCTGCTTGCTGCTCTTCTACTTCCTTCCATAAGTGTTTGGATGTCTGCAGACTGAAAAATATTGAAAGACACTGCTCCCAGAGCATCCACATGCTCTCTATCCCTTTACCTTCCCACTCTCCACCTCTCTCCACTTTGACTGTTATGCCACTTGTGCTCTATGCAGTTTTTTTGCTCACTGCTGGAGGTGCCAGGCTCATGACTCTCCCTTCCTCCTAGTGCTGTGCCATGAGCTGTACTACCTTGCCTACTCCATAGTTGTAGGGGTGTTATACTCTGTGCCCCACTCCTTTGTACCACCTTCTTAACCTTGTGTCCCTAGGCTGCAGATTCAAGCGTGTCTGCATTAATTGTTTTTCCCAAGTTGCTGTTGATTTCAGCCCCTATCTAGCTCTACTGTTTGGACTAGTCCCTGTACTTCCAGTATCTTCCAGTAGACAGCTGTTTTCTTCACTAGTTCCCACTCTTCCTCTTGGGATGTTGTTGTCCCTCTGGCTGGAAGCTATGGAAGCAGTGGCTGATAGAGAAGGCTGTCTCATGCTCTCACAGTCAGAAGTGGCTCCTACCAGTTAGGGTTGCAGTGAGTGCAGAAGGTGGTTTGTGGGGATAGTCACACCTGCTGGGTGTGTTGCACCCACCTTCATTCTTCAAGGCTACCAGGCTGCCACCCCATTGCAAATTCTAAACGAACACTGGGACGTAACGTGCATGGGCAGGAAGGAGCTCATTCCTGACGAGTTTGTCACCAAGATCCTTCTGAGGATGTGCTACTCTGGGTGCTAATAAATCAGGCAATAAAAGAGGGGTTGGGAAATTCTGTCCCTATTGCCTGTAAATGTCTTACTTAGTTTTTAAATTTGCCAAATGCTTAAGCTACAGACCAGCTTACTCTGTGCCCACGTATGAAGGAAGCTGGAAACTACCAGTCAAAGTGAACTGTCTGAAGGTATCAGTCTGACTTCCATGTCTGGCTTTTGCAAAATAGAATTTAACTCTCTGCTGAATCATGCAGAAGACTTTGGTATCAGAATTTCCTAAAGGTCTGCAGCTAAAGATGAAGGAAACCTTGTTCTAATTTCAGACTTGGGTGACTCCAAGTACCTGGCGTTTTGTCTTCAAAGTATTGGAGAGATATAGAAGTTAAGGAGTCACATGCAGTGCAGGTTTTAAAAGATGACAGCCTGTCATCTCACTCTGTTGCTTCATAGCAATGTATGCTGTTATGGAAAATTCCCACATTTTGTGTCAGTAGAGCACACCCAACAGAAAACTTTCTGCTTTTTTTAAACTTCTGCTTTCAGGATTTTGAAGTAATAGTTTGAATCAGGTTTGATGCAAATTAAAAGCTTCTTAAATCATTTTATCCAGCCTAGTTGCTAAGGCAACCTTTAAAAAGTGAAAGATAAACACCTCTAGTTTCAGGTCTTCCACAAACTTTTAGAGCACACTTTTTATGCAGATTTCAAAAGTTCCATTCTTATACCAATTTTGAGATGTTTGATCAGCCTGGATGTTTGTAGAGGTTTGCCACAGTGATTTAAATAAATTAGAGCAGTGAAACAAAGGCTGCATCCTTATGGAGGTAATGATTTTTGTCTATATTAAACAGAGTGTTGCCTTAGGTTTAGCACCTATGTAAGCATATTTTCCTAGAAGTCACATCCATCCTTGACTGGATTTTATAAAGCTACAGTCAGTGTATGGCTTTGCAAACATTCAGGGGCAATGGATACATTGCAGACAGTTTCACCCTTACATCCCCAGCTGAAGTCCAGACTTCACAATAATAAAATAATAAATAATAATAAATAATAAAATTGATTTTCATTTTAAGAAACTATGGAGGTTGGAAGGCAAGGAAAAGGGCA